AGGAAGTGAAGAAAGGAAGAAAAGGATCGGTGAAATGGTGTTTCTCGGTAAGATAGAAGTGGGTAGAAGTAGTTTTTGATCTTGCATGTGCTTTTCCTTGTCTTTGCGCTGCTGTCCGAACAGGGGTGTGTGTCTGGAAATGTTTAGTGATGATTTTCGAATTGTATGATTCATCTTCCCTCTGGTTATGGCTGTTCAAATCTGGGTAGTGAATTTTCAAGGTCAAGTTATGAAGCTAGTATGAGGTAATAAGTATATGTATGTATGTATATGTGTGTATGTGTGTACCGAATGGTTGCTCTGTTTTTGACTTGGCCGAACAGGGGTTAAAGGCTTGGGGGAGTCTGGTTCTGCTGATTCTAAACAGGGGAAAATCTTCCGTTTAAGGTTGGTTTTGGTTTGGAGGAAGAGATCGAGGAAGATGCAAAATATATATTCATGTGTGTTATTGACTTTGAGGGTAACGTGCAGGAGTAGTATATATATATGTTCTGTGTTGGCCGACTTCTGAATATATATATATATATATGTATATCTAGCTAGGTGTGTTAAATGTGGGATGGTGATTTTGGATCGGTATGAAAGGGGAGAACCGAAACTTATGTGTGTGTGTATGATAGTCGCTGGTTTAGATGACGACTGGTTTTTGAGAGGAGACCGAACTGATATATATATATATATATATATATAGTTTCGGTATATGTAGCTTCTGTTTCTGTAAGTTGGGAAGAGTATAATATTATATGTATACACACGGTTATTACTGCTGTTAGAACTTGGGAGATACATTTATATATATGTCGTCGTTGCTGGAAGATTTTGGGATTGCATTTTCTGATTTACAAACGTGTTCAAGTTGCTGTTTTTATGTTCCTTGATGTCAAGAAACTACTTTGGACTGCTAAATGATCGAGGAGTTGAGTAGAAACATTATTCGGATTTGACGTTAAAGTTGCTAAAGGAAATAAAAAGGGAGAAAAGTTGCTGTCCAAATTTTAAGAGAGTATTGATACATGAATATGAAATTGAAGCAGTAATTATGTTAGTCAAAATTTGGTGATAGGCTTGAATGGATGTGTTGAAATTAAAAAGGAATTAATTCTACTAAAAGTGATTTTCATGAATTTAGGAAATGAGAAAATAAAGGAATTTTTCATATTATGGGTGAGAATGTTTGAAGCTTGACATTTGCTACTATAGAGGATCGAAAAGTGTTGAATAGAGAAGTAATAGAAGGATTATAAGCTAAAATAAGATGAATGGCTGTTGAGGTTGATTTTGGAATGTTCAGGATGAGTGACAATTAGTTTATTTGGATTCCTTGTGTGGATAGGAGAATAAGAAAGTTTTATAGTAAAGTTATAACTAGTAACTAAATTAATAAACATTTGGATATAGGCTTGAATTGAGATGTTGAAATTGGGACTTTGAGTTTGATCATGTTCCTAAATGAAAAATGTTAAAGAGTTAAGAGAAAATACTGTTCCGAGTTCTTTAGATTTTAAAAGTAAAGGTAATGGTTTAAAAGGAAAGAAGATCTTGTTGTTTTAAGTTTCTACATAGGATATTAATAATTAGGAAGTGAATTATCACAAGGACAAATTACAAGTTCAATAGACTTAAGATAAGATTACTTGATTGAAACCCAATGAGGAGAATATAAGTATGTTAATATGTGTGATTGAATGTGTATTATAAATGAGTACGTGTAAGTCAAAGTCATTCGGACTTTTTACTTGATTGAAACTCAAGTAAGTGGACTTGAAAGCAAATGCATGTGAGACATGACATTGTCCTTAAAATAAAATAAATAGAAATAGTATTTTTGACCAAGATGACTAGTTACTAAGTAAAGTAACTGTATGAGTTGAGATAAGGAAGGAAGCCTTTCAAAGAGAATAGTTTGAATAAGAAAATTGTCCAGGATGATCACTATTAAATAAGGGTAGAGATGGAAAGAGATTGGGAATTAAAGAGGGTTATTTAATTTATAAATTATGTTGGATCAAGCATTAACCTACTTTTACTAAAATAATAGGTTTTGATATCTGCAAAAGCCTACCGAAGAAGCTAAGAGAAAGGAAACGAGTAAGGTTTGATTTTGAAGCAGAAGGTTCAGGTAGTAGTTCTTTCCTACCTTACACTTGTGTATGATTGCTGCATGTCTGTTTGTGCCATATTGCTGTTTAAAGCATGAGAACATGTAATCCTAATTCCTTGCATGGATTATTTAGCCGTGATCACATGTAGCTGATAGACATGGGGCAGTGATTGCCAATTATTTGCGCATTATTTATTCAGCTTGTCTATCTGTCATTGCGCATAAATGCTTAATTGCATTAGCTTGCAAGGTTATGTTCCACTTTGGCTTGTTTTGCATGCTTTATGTAATCTGCAAATTTGTTTGATGGAAATTACTACTACGGGGATTCGTTCGAATCTCACCCTCCAATTTATGATGAACAGTGAAAGCTAGTAGCCCGAAGGACAAGGAGGTTGTTTAAGAAGAAGGTGGGCTGGTTGAAGAGCAGAGATACCTGTTATAATTCTGTAAATTGTATAGCAAAATATATGGGCAAGTAACTTTACTTGCTCTATGGAAATATTATTTTGTATCCTCTAGAAGAAGGAAGTGAGCATTGCCAGGTGCATGTATATGCTGTCAACCAAGAGCGTTGTTTTATTTTTAATATAATATTATAAGATTGTATAGTATGAAATTATTTTAGGTGATAATAGATTAAGTTGAAAGCAGGGTTGATATTGGATCACTCATCAGTTATCTGAAGGTTTGAAATATTTGATCAACGGATTCTAATGTTAAAGGGGGGAAAAAAATTTCCCTGTCTTTTTCCCAAGTCGGAAACCTGGCATTAGTGATTTCGCAGGCGTTAAAATGATCCTATTAGTATATATAAAAGTAAGGTGTTGCAAAGTCAGTGTTATTTTTTCAGCAATTTTTTTTTATCACCAATGATCATAATTTTCTCATTTTTTTCTTTAAATATAATTTAACGCATCAAATTATTAAATCCGTTATCACATCATGAAGAAATTAAAAAAAGATAATTAATAAATTTTCATTGTCAAAGATTTTGTGCTTAAATTGATACTTTATTTTAAAATGAATGATACATCACTAGTAATGTATTATTATTTTTAATTCAAATAGTATCTATAGCCAAGATGTAAATGTTCCAACTTTGATTTCTTTATTATTGGTGCGTATACTTAAAAATGATTGTTCTAATAATTTGATATGTAAAATATAAAAAAGGATAGGAGTAAATTCTTGGACATCCTCTCTTTTAAGCAACGTGAGACTTTACTTTTGACATATCTGCACATGTTTACAACATTTGTCATAGTTCAACCCAATTGACCATTATATTTGACATCAAATTCATAATTTTGTTATCATCAAAATCGCAATTGGCCATTTGATCTTAAAGTTTACAATATTCAATATCTTATGCATTAATTCAATACGTGGATTTCTTCTAGTTCAATGTTACACGTGGCAGTTATAATTGAGTGAAGGTTTTTATTTATTTACTGGTGAAATTTAGACTCTTAATCACAATTAAAAGCAAACAATGTATGAGATGCAATATGTAAAAGGTATTATTCATTTGTTAAAAGGGTTAATATACCAGATTTTGTAATTAATGTGTGAATATGTATCCATCTTCATTAAAACAAGTTTCTATTATTTGTATGACCAACTCCTACATGGAAAGCAATAAAAGCTAATTTTTCTCAGTTCCAAATTTCAAATATATAACTTGTTGAACTTAGAAATTATTTTTAAATAGTAAGGTAATATATGTGTATAAATAGTAAAAACGTTAAAATTTAAATTAATAAGATTGGATTAATTTTGTATTGATTTGGTTGACTGAATTGGCTCAATACATGCTCTTTATTTATATCGAGAGTTTAAAAAAGGTTGTCATGATTTTAATATACGTTAATTGGTTTATTAGTTTTGTCAGTTGTTTGAACTCTTAGAGAACTGTTAGAAAATTGCCGGACTCTTTTTGAATTGAATAAATGAAATACGTAATCTCTTGAACATTTTAGTTTATTTCATTTTTTCACAAGGGTTTTCCTTATTTAAGCCTTATTTTCCAAAAGGAAAAAGTAATTAAACATGTTGTATTTACCCATTTACTTCTCATAAAATTTGAATAGGAACACTGTATGGTAATTAATGGAGTATCTCATACTATAATTCAAGTACAATGTACATTCTTAACCAATTAATACGAAGATATGGTTGTGCACGTATAAATATAGGCCAATCAAAAAGCTAAACACACGATTGAGAGCTCTTTGATCTCTCTTCCTCCTCTCAGCATTTCATCTAAAGTTTTCCAGGTTGTTAATATTATTCATCATACCTCTCCTCCTCCTCCTCCCTCTAAATCTTCTTTCATATCTTATATACTTGATTTTTTTTTTAATTTATACTAGAAGGCTTTCTTTCTTTTCAATATTGACTGCAACTGTGAAGTCTGACCCCAAACCTAGTGTCACAAAGGGCATACATCTTGTATGACTAGACGCAGTGATTTTTGGCATATATACAAGAAGTTTGACATATCAGCTTTCATAAATGAAATTTCACCTTGAGGAAACACTCTTTTAAGATCAATTTCTTTTGGTACAATAGGAGAATCAATGCAGTGAAATGGTTTTGGAGTTTTTCATCGATGATAAACATATTGTTTTTTGCCAATTTTTTTCTTCAAACTCATACCTAGAAATATTCTAACTTTTGTGTGCATGGCATGGAATGCTTAAACTTGGACAAAACAATTTTCAACATTGAACTCCATGCAACTCACAAGGGAATCAATATCTAGTTTTAACTAATAACATTTTCATTATATATTTGCATCGTATAGTACATATATACTATATATTATATTAAATCAAGGTTGTTTTTATGAACATTTTCATTGAAGGTTATTATTATCAACTGTTAAGAAGAACAAATGGCTGCTTGCGACAAGAAGAAGGTTGTGTTCATCATGGGATCAACTGGAACAGGAAAAACCAAGCTTTCAATCGACCTGGGCTCACATTTCCCCTCTCAAATCATCAACGCTGACAAGATCCAAGTGTACAAAGGTCTGGACATAATCACCAACAAGGTCCCGGAATCCGAGCGAAGAGGAATCCCACATCACCTCCTGGGAATCATCGAAGATCCCGAATTCGACTACTCTCCCACCCTTTTCTGCGACCATGTCATCTCTGCGATCGAACACATCTCCCAACAAGGACACCTTCCCATCATCGTCGGAGGCTCCAACACTTACCTAGAATACCTTGTGGAAGATCCCACCTTGGACTTTCGTTCCAAACATGATTGTTGCTTCCTCTGGCTCGACGTGTCTCTTGATGTCCTCTTTCCCTATCTGGACAAAAGGGTCGATGAAATGGCGGACGCAGGGTTTGTGGATGAGACCAGAGAATACTTCCTTCCTGAGGTTGATTATTCTGCTGGAATAAGAAGAGCCATCGGCGCTCCTGAACTGCACGAGTATTTTAAGGTTGAGAACGATGTTAATGTGGACGATGAAACCAAACAAGAGTTGCTCAGAGATGCCATGCAGAGAATGAAAGAGAACACTCATACGCTGGCTAGAGTGCAACTTTCAAAGATACAACGCATCAATGATGAGCGTTCTTGGGGATTGAATCGTATTGATGCTACTGAGGTATTTGAGGCTGTTCTGAATGGAAGTGCGTATCAGAGTTTATGGAAAGATTTGGTTTTCAATCCCAGCAAACAGATTGTTCAGAGCTTCCTTGAAGCCTATATGAGTGAGAGCAAAGCTGCAGAATAATTTTTTTTTGGCCACATAATTGGCGAATTTAAATAAGGTGGAGGGATATATTTACAAGACAGATTTTTAATTTACATATCTTTCTTCAAAACGTTGAAAATAAGAGGATGTAATGTCTTCAAAGTTTTATCTTTCATGAAATAATAATATTATTTCCTTATGTTATACGTACATAAAGATATATTTCAAATTTTCGATTCTCAAATACCAAACACTTAGATCTCCAATAACATACATAAACATAGTTTCAAGTAACATTATCTTGGGGTGAGAACATTTTTGCAACCCATTGTACAGTTTGTGTCACGATGTGAAATAAAATGATGAAAAAAGTATTCTTCCTATGAGGATTTAGTTTCAAAATCCTAATCAACTAGTATCAATTATCACCCTTTACGTAATTTGAGTGATACAATATCAAAAGTGAAAGGAAAATTAAAATTAGAAAGAAATAAATAATAAAAACAAATGATTCTTGGACTTCAAGGATAAAATGGAAACTAGCTAGAATTATTATCTCCCTTGTATTTCTTGACATTCAATTCACCTCCTCTCTTAAATATTCTTAGTGAATGTGTTAGCCTTGAGTTCAAAAAGTACTTGCAAGTGCTCTCTAAAATCACGAACAACTATTCAGTTTCATTAATTCCTCAATCTCTTGTTACAAGTAGTAAAATACAAATTCTAAGAGCCAATCCTAATGGACTATCCAAGATTGGCAAGTGTGTGTGTGTATCTATCTTACCAACAAAACTATTCATTCAATAATATACAAACTTTAAGTTTTGCTGATACAATTTTATCCCAGTTCTACATTCAAAATCTCTCTTAAACGTCAATTAAGTGATATAAATGGTGATTAAGCATTTGATGTCCTCCTGTAAGAAGAGTTTAGAGGATCAAAGCTTAGAGTAGATATATGAAGGG